CGGGACCCGGTGGTGGCGGCGGCGGGTGGAGGTGGCGGCCGGAGAACAACAAGCCCCGGAGCCGGAGCCGGGGGGGAGCGGGACGGGACGGGATGGGCGACAGCGGGCGGGGTGAGTGGTCGGCAGGGTAGGGCCAGGGCGGGCGGTTGAACGACGGTGTTATCTGCATGTCTTCTTCCCCTTCTACATACACCCACGGGTGTCTTTGCCTACCGTCCCCCCCTCCCCCTTCCCTGCCGAACGCTTAGCTTATGGGTAATCCAAATGCTGGGAGGGTCTCGCTCCCCCTTAAATCTAGAGTCTGGAGTGGGATGAGGGAGCGTGGACAGCACTCTGCTTGACTCGGGAGGGATTGGAGAGAAGGAGGGCTGGGGGGCGGAGCACGTGTCAGGGAGGGGTCAGCATCTTCCAATCTCCCCCTCTGGGCGACCCGAACTAGGAGCTTAGGCTGATTTTGCTATGATAGGGGGGTGGTTCGTGGACAGCCTTTATGACCCCACCCACACTGAGACTAGGTAGGCTCCGGACCACCTCCACTAAGTTCAGATCTAAGTGTCCATGTTCATTCTGTCACTCACAGACCAGTTCTTCTGCTGTCTCATGCCTCCCAGCTCACTTCTGGGGAAAATGTAGTGGAAAGAGGAGATTAGCGTTTGAATGCTCTCTTCAACTCTTACCAGCTGTGGGACCCTGAACAAGTCGCTTTTTCTTTCTAGGTCTCAATTTCCTTATATGTGAAATGAGATGGTTTCTAACATCCCTTTAAGCTGGGTCCCAAATCTTTTCCCAGTTCAAGAAGAATAGAATAAGAGTTTATCATTTTACTTCTATCCCCCCCCCCCCCCCAAATCCAAAGCTTTCTGCAACTTCCTAACCAAAAGGAGTGTCTTCTCCCTAGCCCTGGGCTGGTTTAGGCAAACCCAAAAATGATTAAAGGCAAATAAAGTGTCTTCACTTGGGTTGGAGAAAGTTTAAAGTCTCCTTTTATCTTTGTATACCCAGTGCCTACAACAGGGACTTGCACATGGTAGGTCCTAAATAAATGTTTGTTGAATTTGAATTGGAGTAATTGACCAGATGAAGACTGATTATCTCTCTCTTTTTTTTGTCTCTCTGCATCTTTGTCTCTGTTTGTGTCTCTCCTCTTTTCCCATCCCAGACTGTAGAAGCCCAGACAGCTCCTCCCTGAGCTCATCCCCACAACCCCCTCCCCGGGGGGGCCCCCCCCCTTCTCCTCCTGGGCCCCCCCTGGCTCCCCTACCCTCTGCAGCTTCATCCCTCCTAGGAACAGGAGGCCCACCCCAACTACCACTTGGCTCCCCCTTCCCTGTCATCAGCTCCTCCATGGGGTCGCCTGGGCTGCCTCCCCCAGCCCCTCCTGGACCCTATGGCCCTGTCAGCAGTCCCCAGGTGAGCTGTGGTGATCCCATGATCCTCTTGAACCATATATGACCCTTGACTCTGCTTTGAATTTCCATATAACCTGGTGATCTTTCATGACACCAGGCCCTGGTGTGAATCTCTGTTCCTTGTGACCTCAGACATTTTGATCCATGATGTCCTTGGCCCTTTTTACCATGATGAATAACCTTTCAGTCACTCTTAAAGTTGACAATTGTACTTTATTCCTTTGACCTCCCCTTCCCATCATCCTTGGACCTGTATTCAGTCTCCTCTGCCCTCTTTCCTACCTATAGATATAGATAGATCATAGAAGAAGTGGAGAGTAGATTTAGGTCCTTGTGATTGTCACCACTAGCCCTCCCAACAGGCATCCCTGTAATATCCCCTCAGATTAACTCCACAGTGTCACTCCCTGGGGGAGGGTCCGGCCCCCCAGAAGATGTGAAGCCGCCACTGTTGGGTGTTCGAGGCCTGCACTGTCCACCTCCCCCAGCAGGTCCAGGGGCTGGCAAACGTCTTTGTGCAATCTGTGGGGACAGGAGTTCAGGTATGGTATCATGGGGTCACTCAAAGCTCAGTGAGGAGAGGGGCTCCATATCCCACTTGTGGTAGTTGGAACTTAGATAAATGAGTGGCGGTCATCCAAGAGGCAGAGAAGGGGCCTGGTGAGAGCTTTAGGAACTGGGTGGGTAAATCAGAGGATATGTCCCACAGGTTACCTGTCAAGGTTAAAGAGGGTAAAGAAGAGGCAGCATGACGTATATGGAGAAATGGTCTTAGAATCAGATGACTTGAATTTGAAATCTTGTTCCATCACTTACTGGTTTTGTGAGCTGGGGCAGGTCACTTGACATATATGTAAAGTCTGTATATAACACGGGCGTCACTGAACTTGGACTTGGTTGTAAGCAAAGTGTCAATGTCCCTGGGTCCTGGTCCCAATCCTTGTTTTAGGCAACACAATAGGGTGTGTGTTTGCAGGGGTTCGGAAGGGAAGGTGATTAGTCTCCTAACTTTGGGGTCACAGGTCTCTCCCTAGCCCCTTGTGTTCCCCCTCCCTCACCATTACCTGCCATTCTAGGCAAACACTATGGGGTCTACAGCTGTGAAGGTTGTAAAGGTTTCTTCAAGCGAACCATCCGAAAGGACTTGACGTACTCATGTCGGGACAACAAGGACTGCACTGTGGACAAGCGGCAACGGAACCGCTGTCAGTACTGCCGCTACCAGAAATGCCTTGCCACGGGCATGAAGAGGGAGGGTAAGAAATCACCTTTGTACAGCTAAGACAGCCCCATCCCTCTTCCCGTCCCATCTGTTGGTCTTCTTTCCAATTTCTCCTTCATTGAGGTTAAGTGGGGGAAATGGATTGAAGTGTCCACCAGCCCCTGTCTTACAACCTTAGAGTCAAGCCAGAAAGAAAAAGAGAACCAGAGTAAGGAAACCAACCCATCTACCCCTTTCTTCCTCCTCTGCCATATGTCTTCTTTCCTCATTTCCCCTTTCAGCTGGTCTGCCCCAAAGATCCTGATCTGGTTTCTCCACCTCCTCTTTCAGTGGTTCTGCAGTGGTGTGTCTACCCCAGATCTAGCCACCTTCTGGAACCCATCTAGCTGGACTAGCTCTTTGACCCTCTCTGTGTTTCTGACCTCTTCCACTCTGTCAGTCGTTACTCTCTATAACTTATGGTCAGAGCCTCTCTGGCTTTCTCCTCCACTCTATAATCGTGTTGTTTCTTCTCTGACCTCCAGTTGCTGACCATTTGTGGTTCGAGGAGGAACTCCCTCAAGCCTTTCTTCTCTATGACCTCTGGGGGATATTTCTGTCCCTATGTGGCATAAAGTTCTGGGGAGGCTTGGGGCAGTCTTACTTCTTTTTTCCTTTATTGCCTGAGAGTCTCACTATAAGAATCCCAAAATGTCAGAGCTGGAGGGAGCCTTAGAGATCATCTAGTTCATCCCCCTTCATTTTTACAGATTGGGGCAAGCTTATCAAGGGGGAAGTAACTTGCCCAAGGTCACACTGCCAGTAAGTTGCAGTACCAGAACAAGAACCTAGGTCTCTTGAAAACTGCAAGGCCTGCCTTTTTTTTTTCCCTACACAACCCTAAATTGTACCAGGAATCATATAACCTGGGTTCTGGTCCTGGCTCTGCCACTTACCAGGTAGGTGACCTTGTCACTTAACCTCTCCGAGACTTAGTTTCCTCACCTATAAAATTGGGGTAATAGTACTCACCCTTATCTACCTCATAGAATTGTGAGGATCAAATAAGATAATGAATGTAAAAGTGCTTTCTGAAAATCTATCTAAATGAGAGAATGTTATTATCTGTTTATAGTTTCTCTGACCTTGTAGGTGATCCCTGCTTCTCCTTCCTGACCCTCTCCTTCACCAAGGCACCCACCTCTAACTTATCTACATCCTCCAGTCACCTCCTTAGTTCTCCTTAGTCCCCTGTGACCCTCAAGAATATGATTGACTCTTATGCTGATGACCCCCCCATGACCCACTTCTGACTTCCCACCCATTTTTCTTCTCCCCCTTCCCACCTCCCCAGCGGTACAGGAGGAGCGTCAAAGGGGCAAGGAGAAGGACGGGGAAGGGGAGGGGGCCGGGGGGGCCCCTGAGGAGATGCCCGTGGACAGGATCCTGGAGGCTGAACTCGCCGTGGAGCAGAAGAGTGACCAGGGCGTAGAAGGGCCCGGGGGGGGCCGGGGGCGGCGGCAGTAGCGTGAGTGATGAGGGAGAGATCCATCTTCTCCAATGACACTGGGGGGAGGGAGTTCTTGAATATATATCTGAGGTCCCTCTGGCTCACAATAATCCAAATAGTAATCATTGAAATAGGAATGGTTTCCAGGGCAGGAATGCTTAAGACACATAAACAAGCTTCCCTCCCCTCCCTTATCCCCAAGGTCTCATCCTTCCCCTCCCTTCCTAACCCTCCCTCCCCCAGCAATAAGGGATGGAATAGAAATTTAAATGATGGGAAGACTGTAGCCCTGGCTGAGGGGAGGGGATGGAAACCTGTTGGGCATGGGGGGTGGGGATTTATGTAAGAGAGGGGGTGGGTCCTAATATTTCCCCAACCCTGTGTATCGTCATTCTCTTTTAGCCAAATGACCCTGTGACCAACATCTGTCAGGCAGCAGACAAACAGCTTTTTACACTGGTTGAGTGGGCAAAGAGGATCCCGCACTTTTCCTCTCTGCCTTTGGATGACCAGGTCATCCTTCTCCGAGCAGGTCAGTGATTTCTATCCTTTGGTCTAGGTGACCTTTTGACCCTGACCTGACATGACTTCCTGGCATCCTGGGACCTTTACTCTGAGTCACCTCTAGGGGGACAGACTGTCCTGAGTAGGGAAACTCACTGCCCCCTCCCTTTAACTCCAATAACTCCCCAGCCTGGTCTCTGGCACCTGACCGAATGGCCTCTGCCTCTTAGGCTGGAATGAGCTCCTCATCGCCTCCTTCTCTCATCGTTCCATCTCCGTCAGGGATGGCATCCTCCTTGCCACAGGGCTCCATGTCCATCGAAACTCTGCTCATTCAGCTGGTGTTGGAGCCATTTTTGACCGGTCAGTGTTCCCTGGGGCACTCATAGATTAGGTACCTGGCTGATGCGGAGGGGGATGTGGGGCCATCTTTCGCTCATCCGTTTCCTGAGCTGGATAGAAGTGTGATTTCCATGCCTTTCCCTAGGGTGCTGACTGAACTGGTGTCCAAAATGCGTGATATGCGAATGGATAAGACAGAACTTGGCTGTCTGAGGGCAATTATCTTATTCAACCCAGGTAGGGAGACAATGATGAGATAACCCAGAGATCTCTCAAGGAACCAAGCAACCTCTCCCTAAATATAATCTTCCTGTTACGGGATGGCATTTTGCAGTAGTGGAAAGAACTTTCGACTTCAGCGTTTGAAGACCTGGGTTCAAGTCCTGGCTTTGCCAGTTATTCGTTGTATGATCTTGGACAAGTCACCTCTTTGGACTTCAGTTTTATATATAAAACAATAGGGTTAGACTAGATGATCTCCAGAAACCCTTCTGACATCTTCTGAATTTCAAAACTCATCCTCTTAGCTTGGTTTGGGGACAGATGTCCTATTTCATAACCCAGAGACATTTTTTTTCCTCCCTAGTGTCCTGGGAAAACAAAATACAGCCAACACTTGCAAAACAACGCTAAATGTGGAGGTAGAGGGCTCCTTGGGAGTGAGAGTAATGGGGGGAAGGATGCTTGACTTTGTTGTTACTCTTTCTCTCTTATCTTCCTCTTTCATCCAGTTGTTTTCTTCACCTAATCCTCTCTCGTTCCACTTCCTCCTCCCTCTTGCAGATGCCAAGGGCCTCTCCAACCCTGGGGAGGTAGAGATTCTGAGGGAGAAAGTCTATGCATCTTTGGAGTCATACTGTAAACAGAAATACCCTGAGCAGCAGGGACGGTGAGATGGGAAGGGGACAGGGAAGAGCCTTGGAAAGTATTTTTTATGGAACTAAAGAGGGGGGAAGGGAGAGATGGGAGATGGGGGGGGGTTGATGCCAATAATGGATATGTGTGTGTATCTAATTTGTCTCTCTAATTTCTATTTCTCTCTGTCTTTCCCTTCTACACACACACACACACACACACACACACACACACACACATTTTTATGGAGGGGTTTCTGATCTCCTCCCCTTATCTCCCCTCTCCTCCACTCTCCCTCCCTGCCACCCCAGGTTCGCAAAGCTGCTCCTTCGTCTCCCTGCCCTCCGATCTATTGGCCTCAAGTGCTTGGAGCATCTGTTTTTCTTCAAGCTCATCGGGGATACACCCATCGACACCTTCCTCATGGAGATGCTAGAGGCACCACACCAGCTTGCCTAACACTGAAAATTAGAAGGGGGGGGATGACCCTCATACCTGGATGGAGGCCTGGAGGGAGGCTGGAATGCAAGATGGGCCCCAAACCGTGGGAGGTAAGGGTGGGGAAGAAAGCTTCAGGACCTTGGATAGAGGACAGAACTAAATTTAAACCCCCAGGGGGTTTACACCAGTTCACGTGATGCCAGCATTCAAGGAGACCCCGGAACCCTGAGAGGGATGGGGTGGTCCCTGTCCTCAGCTGGCCTGGTCCTCTAACTTATAGGGGATGGCCAAGTTTTGAACTGAGTTCTCATACTGGTAAATGATTCCCCTCACTCCCCCATCTATTCCCTCAGTACAGCACTGGGGATCTGCTGTGCTTCTCTCCCAGGACCCTGTTCCCCTGTCTGGGGACCTTTTGAGCTCGTTCCCCTTCCTCCCTATTTTTCCAATAAGACAATTGAAACGGGGGCTCTGTTCTTCACTCAGAGAAATGGACATTGGGGGGCAGGACCCCTCCACACGATGATGGACATTGGCCATGGGGCTCATGCCTTCCTCTCTTACGAAGACATGGAAAGATTGTGGGAGATGGTAATAGTGACTGGGAGAGGAATCTCTCTGAAATCTTCATAGCCTGGCTCTTAGATCCTTCTTTTTATGGCCATCTTCCTTTCCAGTCAGACTGAAAGAGAGTAGGATGGGGAAGGATAGACTCTCTTTTTATCCTCCTTGGTTTGCTGAGGTTTTACAGGGAGAGCCAGGGTTAGTCTCAAAGATCTTCCCACTGGTGAAAGAGAAATGGGTTAGGGGAATGGTATAGGTTTTATCCATCCCTGGGGATCTCCATGCATGAGTGATTTGTCTTCTCCCAAAACTTCATCCTTTCTATCTGCCCAATCTTGTTGGGCAGCCAAGGCAGGGAGACGAGTGATTTGAGTAGGGAGCTGTTCAAGAGAGATGCTTTTGAGATGATAACGGTAATCACTGACCCCCGCACCCCCCAATTCCTGATTACACCACCTCCCTCCATAATCATGTCTTCCCAGTACTCACATAAACTTTTTGCCCTGCCCTCCCTGACTGGGAGAGCTCCTGGTTTGAGGAGGCAGGGTTGCTGCAGGGATTGGAGGAAGGGGTCAATCCTAGGGAAAGGGGAGGGGGTGACTTCTGGGGCCTGCATGATTCTATAGGTTCCAGCTCTCCCACAGAACTTTTCCGAAAAAAAAAAATGCTTTCAAATTAAAGCCGCTGCTTTTCTGGATGTGGGGGTCTCTGTGGGGGAGGGCGGAGTGGGGGAGCAGGGAGTGGAAAAGGGGTGTTGTGTTGTCCCTATGTGGTGACTTCAAGAATGGGAGAGAAATACCGCTCAGACTCCCGAGATGCTCCGGCGTTTCCCTGGGGCTTGAAGGGGTGGGAGTGGGGGGACAAGGAGTGCTTTGTCCGGGGGGGGGGGATGTGCCAGGCTAGGGGCGGGGCAGGGGTCGGTGGAGTGGAGGGTGTGAGTGTAGAGAGCCGGCTTTCAAAGGCTCCTTGTTTCCCTGCCACCTCCGCCCCCCCTCTTAGGCGGAGGCGGCGAGGAGCGGGCGGTGTCTGTTCAATCCCAGCTTTTCACCCGTCGCACCGAGGGCTCCGGGCAGACCCTGGGGTTTGGCGCATCCCGTCGGTGCTGAAGATCCCAGGATAGCGGCACCTGGGCACAATCCCAAGTCCATTTCCCCAAACTGATTCTTCTGTGTCCACTTGTGCTCCCCGTCCCTATCTCTTTACCACTCTCAAAGTCCTAGTACTGTGTGCCCCGGATTCTTCTTGAGTCCTCCATACTTTTCATCCCCTAGTATCCTTGATTCCTCTGGGCCTCTGTCCCCCTAATGTCCCGCCCATCACTATCTTTAGCCTCTTCTATAAATACCTGGACTCTGTAATTACCTCTGCGGGGAGGGGCGGGGGTGTGTGTAATTATGGAGAACTGATTATAGGGGAGACCCCCCCCCGGCCCCGCCCCCCACAACCCGGACCCCGCCCCCAAACGGGACTGGGAATAGAATTGCTTGGGTTCTAGGGAGGAAAAAAGGGAAGCAGGGCACCTGGAGCCCTAGAAAAGATGGGGTAAGAGGACAGGATGCCTAGGTCCTTGGGAAGGTAAGAGGAGTAGAATACCTAGGTCCTGGTCCCCATAGGCGGAGCAGGGATTTCCCCAGAGAAGGTGTGAGAAGCGAGGTGGGATTTTCCCTCTCCGGTTGCGGGAGGGGCGTGGGGGGGGCTGGGCCGGGGGCGGGGTCGGGGGCTCTTGACTGGTAGGGTGGCCCGGGACACACAAGTGGCTGCGGCAGAGGAGAGAGCAGCAGCAGCAGCAGCGCTGGAACCCTGGCGTCTCCCCTTCGGTGCATGGAATCTTAGGGCTGAGAATTGCAGCGGTCCTCAGCTTTCAGCCAACCTCCCCTCTCCAGGGGACCCAGGAGTTCGAGCACCAAGAGCGCGCTGCTCCTCCCTGAGTCAGGTGTCCCAGCGCCTCCAGCTGCTCCTCCCTCCCTCCCTCCATCTCCGCTCCCTGGCTCCTCGGGACCTGGGCGTCCCGGCCGCCCAGCCATGGAGCGGTGCAGCCGCTGCAGACGTCTCCTTTTGTTGGTCCCTTTGGTGCTGGGGCTGAGCGCGCCTCCCCCAGCCCGAGCAGGTAAGTGAGGCCAGGTTATCAGATACCAGAGTTGGGAAGATGGGAGAAGCCTTGGATTTGAGGGAATCTGGCAGGATAGGGGAATTAAGTCCCTGGATGGAATGAGGTTGGGAGTGTTAGGATCTGGTGAGGATGGAGGATCACCTAAAATTTCGGTACCTAGATTTTGGGCGGGATATAGTAGTGTGTGAGGAGACACCTGGCACCCTGTGTCATTAACTCTGGGGATTGGAGATGGGACATCCTGTCCCAGGAGGGGAGGCGAGGAGATCGAGTCTGGGGGTCTAGATTTCAGGCTTGAGGGTAGAGTGGACAGGAACACCTCTCATCTTACATCTCAGCTTCCAAATAGCGGGTGTTGGAAAAGATGCATAGGGTAACGTGCGTAAGTGGAGCCTAGGAACACCTGTATTCTTTGAAAGGGAGCTGGGGAAGAGATGTCAGAGTCGCCATTCAGAGTCCTGAAATTGGAGGCTATACATTGAGGGGGGGAGGTTCACTAGGTGAACTGACTTATCCTGCTCAGTGGGCAGGTCTGCTGGTACTTGGGAGCCCACCGACACCAACAGGGGAGCCTGTACCTGTCTCGATGTGTCTCTATCTTTTCTCTGTTCTGGGAGTGTGGAATGAGAGTGGGAGAAATTAGGGGATGAGTCAAAGGTTCAGGGGAGCTTTTGTGATACTCCCATGCTCCTTAGTTCTATCTGTCCCTGTTCTTTTTCCCCACTGGTGCCCCCCCCCCCCCGTGCCCTCGCTGCTGCCACGCGGCTGGCTCTGGAGAGCGCTGGGGCCGCTGCCAACGGGCCGGGCCGGACGGGGCTGGGATCAGGTGTCTAAGATCGGAGCCAACTCTCTGCATTCCTACCCCTCCCCTCCCCCCCTTGCGACCAGGCTTGTTCCCCCGGGACCCCAGCATCCAGGACCCCAGGCTTTCCCCCAGCTTTCCTGAGATGAGAAAGTTCTACTCTCAAGGGACCAGAGAGGGGAGGTATGGTTTCACAGAAGAATCTGAGGAATAGGACTCCAAGGTACCAGGTGGTGGAATGAGGGCTGGGATCCCCTTTGAAGAGATGAGGTACAATTTGCATTCAATAAGCATATTAATTTATTCTCTTTCCTCTTTCATCCTTTTTTTCACCCAAGGAAAACAGGTTAGAAATTGTGGCACAAAAGATTTCACTTAAGAGTACAGTAGGAAAAATCCCCAGACACTATAAAGTGTGAAGTACATAGAATTATAGATCTTGAAATAAACTCATAGGTCTTCTAGTCCAATCCCTTACTTTTACAGATGAAGTAACTGAGGCCCAGGGAGATTAAATGTTTTGCCCAAGGGCACAGATAGTAGTCATCAGAGTAGGATTTGAACCCAGGTCTTCTGATTCCAAAGCTGATCCTCTCAGAGATTGGGAATTTAAGGAATTTCTATCCCTATAATTTAAGGAGTTAAAAAAAAACCACCTGCTTTTTTCAGGATAACTTAAGGTAGGAGAAAAATCCTCTAGCATCTGTTTGAATTTGGGGAGGGCCAAACTGCCATAGACGCAAAGGGAAACCAAGAAAGATGGACTATGTATATTTTTGGGATGCCCTATATATGTGTGTATGTGTGTATATGTGTGTGTGTGTGTGTGTGTGTGTGTGTGTGTATGTATATTTGAGGTAGGAAACAAGAAACCATAGAGTTTACTCTAATAATAGATGTAAAGATGGGGTCCATAACATTACAGGGGAAGATATGTTTCTCACTACCACTTGTGGACTGTGAGGACGCCATGGGACAGGCAAGGGGAATCAGTGTGGGAAGGGAAAAGGAGAAGGGATGTTTGTCGAGCCAGAAGTAGAGAGTACATAAGACAAAGGTGAAAAGTTTGTGAGACAAATGTGGGGAGTCTGTGAGGTCAAATGTGAGGAGCCTGTAGGACCAAATACAAGGATTTCATGCTTATAGACGTGAGGAGCCTGGCTAGATGTGGGGAGCTGATAGAGCTGAACAGCATTCTCCTAGGTAGGGTGTGTGTGTGTGTGTGTGTGTGTGTGTATGTTGAGATGGGCTAGAGTCTGAGGTCTCTTGGGCTTGGGGTCTCTGTATGTGTCTCTGTCTCTCTCTGTCTCTGTGTCTGAAAGCCGCCCTTGTGAGTTGGTGTTTGCGGAGCCGCCACATGTGGGGGCCGGGGAGGGGTGGGCAGTCCGTGGTTTCCCCAGCTCCAGAACTCAAAGGGCCTTTTCTCTGCCCCACCCCGCCCAGTCCAGCTCTCCTGATCTCCTGGGCACCTCTCTATGTCTCTATGTCTCTCTCTCTCTCTGTACCTATCTCT